AGAGAGAGAGAGAGAGAGAGAGAGAGAGAGAGAGAGAGAGAATCAGACAGACACAGAGACAGACACAGAGACACACTCACAGACAGACACACTCACAGACAGACACACAGACAGGCTGACACACAGACAGGCAGACACACTGACAGACGCACGGACAGACGCACGGACAGACAGAGAGAGAGCGAGAGAGAGAATGAGGGAGAGTGGGGTGAGAGAGAGAGAGAGAGAGAGAGAGAGAGAGAGAGAGAGAGAGAGAGAACTACTGTTTCATTCCTGAACAGTTGTACCAACACCATGGAGTTTGTCTCTCTTGTTTCAATATTTAGAATGTGAATATTTTATATAATATGATTTGTTTCGTGAGCACATACAACCTGCTGGCCGACTTTATACATGTCTGTTATTACCGAAGTGTACTATTGCGCATAACCAAATCGTTAACTCCTTCTACGCTGACACGAAATCCTTCTCAAAAGGAAAAGGATAGAGTAAATTAGAAATTTAGAACAGAAATTTACGCAAGCTGTAACTTAACCCCCCTCCCCCTTCCTGTACCTCCTCTACCATCACGAACGCTGCCTACTTTTGGTTTTAAAAATACACGTTTTAGTTAAAGATAAAGGGCGCTTCCTATTGTTTGCAAGTGGTTGGCGGGTGCTCTGGTATTGTTTGCTTCTTCATGCCTATCATACACCTTCGTCCTGATCTCTCCTCCTTTTTTGGTGTTGTTACTCTTTTGTAAACCTCTAATCTTCATCGCCACTTATATGACCTAATTGTGTTACAAATGCTGCAAAACTTTTACTGGGTGGTTGGCGGGTGCTCTGGTGCTGTTTGCTTCTTCTTTCCTATCAAACATTTATCGTCCTTATCTCTTTTCCTTCTTTTTTTATGTTTATTACTCTCTTGTAACACCTCTAGTCTTCTGGCGCTCATGTGACCTTATGTCGTTGCGAGCGCCGTAAAACCTCTACTAAATCAACTAAAACTCTTACTAACTAAATATAATTGTTCTGCACAGTAGTGAAGAGGTAAGCGAAACATGAAACCAAATGGCGTAATGTGCGTTGCTGTTTTCATGCAGTCTTACTGTTAGATACGTAGTAACTGAGTAGTGTACGTACGGTCTGTCGGTTATGCATTCTTTTTAGATGTATGTTCTGAGTGACTGAGCTTCAAAACACTCAGACTGTTGCCACGGTGGGATTGAATTACATGATTATGCACTCTTATTATGCTCTGCCCTGGACGCTCCACGAACCCAAAGCATCAACTGAAACGTTTTGTTAGTTAGTTTGGGTGTGTGGAGGGGGGGGGGGGAGGTTGGGACGGAACCTGTTCTTTTTTTATTTTTGTTTTTTAAAGTCGAAATTGCACATTAAAATATCTATTACTCAAACAAATGAAAGCTCAAGTGGGTGCAATTACCCCAGTTTGTTACATGATATTGAATAAACAAACAAAAAATTCCAATGCTTGCTGGGTGGGGCCCTCCGTTGGCTCCGCTAGCATCGTGCTTGATTAGGAAAAGAATGGCCCTGGTTCGAATTCCATACTTGGTGTTCATGAAATCGGAACGTTTTGTGTAGTTCCCAACTCCTTTGGTTAGGTCTTTCGTAGAAAAGGGCTCGATTTGGAAGTCCTGAATTTTAAGTCTAACTGTGTTGAAAGGGGCTTTAAATACATTCATAAGATAAGATACATCTTTATTGTCCTGATCCTGGCACTTTGATTTGGTGTTTCAGCACGTGCACACACACACACACACACACACACACACACACACACACACACACACACACACACACACACACACACACAAATACACACGCATGCACACACACACACCTGCACACACCCGCAGGCTTACAGTCACATGCATAATATTAATGAGCAGCAATATAAACAATAACAATCTCAAGCTAGATACATACTCAATATTATTCTTATGCATGCTTTAAGGTCATATGAATACTTATACAAGATGGTTAAGATGGAAGAATTTTGATGGATGATGGTATAAATGACCTCCTGTATCTTTCTTTGTTACAGATCAGAAGCCTAGGTCTTTTACTTCTGACTGATGTTTTTATTTGAGGGAACAAGTGATGTTTGTTGTCTAGAAAGATGGAATTTTTAAATTTTTTTTTTTTGCGAGCTGTTATGTACAGTTCATCCAAGTAGGGGAATGTAGATATTGAACATTTACATGCTTTCCGTATTAATCGATTTAATTTCTCTCTATCTTGTTGTCTTGTTTTCCCGGCCCATGCTGTTATACAAAAACTGATCACACTTTCTAAAGGACGTACGCAGTTCATTTGGATGGGATGGCGGACGAATAATTTTAGGTTGTAGTAAAATATTTTTTTTTCTGTTTTCAAAATGTCCTCTCGAACTGTATTTAGGTGGTTGGTGAGAAAGGCGGTAGTGTTGGTACTGGTGTTGGTGTTGGTGTTGGTGATGTTGTTGTTGTTGTTGGTGGTGGTTAACCTGGGAATAAAGTGGATGACACGTCATACGCGGTACTTTGGCCAACCACTGTTCAAAATGTTACAGATTTCAGAACCTGGCTTCTTTGCTATTAAAATATAGGCTTTGACTTTGTTTATAAGCAACAGAACAGAATAATACATTCCCTTTCAGACGGATAATAATAACAAGGGGCCTAGTTCAGCATTCCTCTCCGGGCGCACAATAATAACAACAGAGAGCCTTGTTGAACGAACCGAAACAAATTACAAACATAAATCCAGGAATGCAGAGTCGCAGAGTCAGAGAGAGAGAGAGAGAGAGAGAGAGAGAGAGAGAGAGAGAGAGAGAGAGAGAGGTGTCGCCAAGATTAAACTCTGTAACACTAACTATACACTGGGAACATCTGACCTTACCAGACCGGACAACCCAGGCGCCAGGCACAAAGGGAGGTTATCACGGGCTCTCTGTTCCTGGGAAAGAATCCATCGCTATCCTCACAAGCCCCTCCGTCTGTTTAATGTCAAGAAGCCCCCACTCCTTTTTTTTTTTATTGGATCGGCTCCATTTGTTATCTGACCGCGAAAAGTCAGGTCAGGAATGTGGCTCTATTGTTTCTAATACGGACAAAGGAGAAATACTCTCATTACTGAGTTTTGTCCTCTCCTTCCTCCGTCCGCCCCCCCCCCCCCACACACACACCCGGCCCGCAAACAGCACACATTAATTAGACATTTTCTGTCAACAAACAAGTGTCCAAGTGACCAAATGCATCTTCTGTTTCATCAAGATTATTACTCAATTTGACAATGTTCTGTTACAAAATTTGCATGAGCTATGGGTTGTTTTTTTTCATCCTGATTTATTAGTTTGACTCGATTTTTGTTTTCTAAAAAGCATTTAGTTTGCCCTTGACTGCTAGTACTGACTCTCGACTCTCGTGCATTACTTCTGTACTTACAATGCCAATACGAAATGCAAGTCTTGAAAGAATGCACAGAAAACAGAATGTGTTGATAGGTTGGATGATGTGTGTGTACGCGTGTGTCTGTGTGTTTTTGTGTGTGTTTGTGTGGATGTGTGTATGAGAGAGAGAAAGAGAGAGAGAAAGAGAGAGAGAAAGAGAGAGAGTGTGTTTGTGTGTATGTGTCTGTTTGTGTGTTTTTAAGCGTGTGTTTGTTTGTGTGTGTGTGTGTGTGTGTGTGTGTGTGTGTGTGTGTGTGTGTGTGTGTGTGTGTGTGTGTGTGTGTGTGTGTGGGGGGGGGAGTGTTGTGTTTTGGGGTGGGATGGGAAGTAGTTATTAGAGTAGCGCATTTCCTTTCAGGAAGTTCCCAGAAGTCTCCAAAGAAACTCCTTTTCTGTCTCGTCTGTTTCACTGTACTACCTTTGGCAATTTTCAAGCATAAACAGCGATGGAGAAGTGTTGACCACATATAGCCTTTTAGAACTCCGATTTTGGCAGTCAATGCATGGGCTGTTCATGTTTGTCAGGATCGGACACATTTTTATTGAAACCGTCTTTAGTTATCGCAGTTCTTCGTTATAATAAATTATATTATTATGTTATTATACATGACAAACCTTGTCATAATAATATAATAAATCAATACCTATTACGGTGGTTATTGTTATTTTTCTATAATAGAGAATAATTAATATTTCTATTGTGTACTCCCCACACATTGTCCTTCTTTTTTTTAATTGTGTAGGAAATAAAAGCAGCAAGAACAGATCCAAGCCTGTTAATTCGTACTTGATATACCGTAACTTAATTGTTCTTGCTCTGGAAATGTTTTTCTTCTTTTCTCTTCTTTGACAGGCTGTCACCAAGAAGACATTGGTGTACCCAGATGACACGCGGAAATCCCTGGAGAATGGAGTCTTGCTTTGCGAGTAAGTGTAATAGATAGGATTAAGACTGGGTCAGGGAATTCTCGTGGTCTAGAGGTACAGTGTATGCCTCTCATTCAATAGGTCCTGGATTCGAAACCTGACTGCAACGGAAACTTTATTTCTCCAAAAAGATATTCTCCTTTCAGCTCCACTCCTGCTCTCTAACCACGATCTGTCGTCTGCTTTTTTCTACATGTTTATTTTATTGAGTATCATAGTCTATTTTCCAGTATGTTGCCTCCGTCTGAATTGGGCAGGGTACAACCCCGGGCCCTATAATTATATCTAACGTTTGGTGCAGGGGGACAAATAACAATGACAATCCCCCCGGCTGAATTGAACGTATTCCCTTCTCTCTCTCTCTCTCTCTCTCTCTCTCTCTCTCTCTCTCTCTCTCTCTCTCTCTCTCTCTCTCTCAATTCCCCCCTCT